AAATTACGCTACCTCTAAGCGCAACGCTACGGCAGCCTCGCTGCAGTTGGAATTCTGAGCGAAAGAGCGTCCTTACCTTGGTTAAGGTTTTTAGTACTTAGAGGTAGCGGATTGCGATCCGCTACACTCGTACTGGTTCTTATAAAGAACGTCAGGTTGGAGACCTTCGCTAAGCTTCTCTAAGCAGAGAGCTACGGCTGCCCCGATACAGGTTAAGCCGTAGTTAGCCCAACGGACGTCAGTGCTCAACTAGTACCAATCAACGCGATAACCAAGATTGACGCCCCATTTCGATGCATTGAGTGTATTAACGCCTCTGATGGCTGCAACTCGATCGGGCATTGTTTTTGCTGTGGGCTATGTTTTGCACTTCTTGGAAAATCTCAACTTCAGCACTGGATGTCAGTCAAGTATAAATCGCGCGATATACAAGGAATGAAATTGCCCGGCATTTGCTTCAAGGCTTAGGACAAGGTACACTTTTGTGACACTCGGCTGTAGTCTGGCTGACCGAATATCGACTTTGGGATATGCATTCTTACTTATGGGTGCTCCGGAGAGTGGGGCTAGCTAGAAACAACCAAGCTTGTCGCTATCATTAAATGAAGCAGAATATATAGCGCTACGTTCAGCAACTTAAGAAAGCACGTGGGTTTATCAACTGACGCGTGAAATCATCTGCAGGTAATAAAAGCGGACTCGAGCTCAAGATAATGGAAGACAATCAGAGATGCATCAAGATGACGAAGAATCCAATGAACCGTGGCCGGGAACAAGTCATAAATATGAAGTACCATCACATTCGTGGCAAAGTCAAGGGAATTAAGGTCAAGATAGAGTACTGTGAGACGTTTTCCAAAGATGTTGGCAAAGATCAAGAGTGCTGCGTCATAATGAGTCGACGAGAGCGGTTGACATAGGATTGAAAGGGCGTTTTATGGGTTATTAAGGATTATGGGATTCAGATAATGTACACAACCTAACCCGAACCAATCCAAATCATGTTTCAACACAGTTCTTTCATTTTACGGTTAAAGGAATTTTTTTATTATGTAGAATGAGTAGTTACGGAAAGAAAAAGAATTATGCCTAAAGAAATATATCACTGTTAGCAACTAGAATATGCGCCAACAACCCCCCCCTCGTACGCACCAACGCCATAAGCATAATAAACTCCTAATAAAAGCCGCTTCTATTACTTTGGTTTGCTTTGACGTCATTGTCGTGTGGGAGCGAGTCGTGCTAGGTAGCGGTCTTGTTGTGGCTATTTACCTGTTGATTTGTTGATAAAAAACGAAAAGAATAATCATGAGGACCTCAGTTCGCTACGCTTTGCTACCTCCAAGCTTACTGAATGTTACCTGAAGTCCTCAGATCGTTGATCAAATGGCGCTACGTCCGTAATCATATCTCTAACCATGACTCTCGTCGTACGCATTATCGCTTTTCCTGGGCAATTACATTGGTTGGCATCATCATAGAACTTCTTCGTTGGATGAAAGGTAATCATTTACTTTCAACTAAAGTAAATATGCCTTAAAATTAATAAAGGTGAACTATAATAAAGTTGAGAAACCATACAAGTAAAAATAAAGTGCAAAGAAGATGTATTCATCTGGGTATTAAATTTTATGTTTATTTGTTGTTCTTCTAGAATTATTTAAATAGTTCGTTCAGAAGTATTGCTAATTTTAAAAAATAATTTTTTTATTAATGTTTTTTTTCAAATATGTATGAATACTTTGATTTTTATTGATTTTTTAAATTAAGTCCTTTTTAAATTTTAATAAATTGTTTGTTTTTTTACCTCTTTTACAGTCAAATTTTAAACTTGATCATTTTTTTTTAAAAATTATAATCCCTTGGATAACTTATATCCCAGTAACTTATAACTTCGTATTACTAATAAATGGTTGTCCCACCAAGTTTATTTGTATAATGCTAAGTACTAACTCATAACTGGTGAGAATAGCAGCCGATTTTGAGTTACCCAAGCTTAAAGCGCATTGTCTAACTCGCTCCCTTCGGATCTTTCTGTCACATGGACATAATATAACATTAGGTACTGCATCAATTAACATTTTTTACAAACGTGAATTTTGCTGATGTAGAAGATATCCAGTAACAAGCAATCATGTTGCATTAATTTGAAACCAGCCACGAACTGATGGTAGTCTGAAATGTTACCATCGTGGTGAGAAATCTCTGCAGTAATCAAATGCACCTGAGTACACTCTAGCTGTGGGATTTGTCACATCCAGCAGTGAAGCAGTCTTTATTATTGCAGCAGTAAAAGAAACCCAGTTGCTCTCCTGTCTTACGATCGAAACAGCGAGACTAATTGGCCTTTTTAATAAACAGTGGCTTGGGTGTTGGAGCGGAACAAAAAACGACACTTCACTACATCAACGAAAGCCTTATGAGGGCCCCATTCTGGTCATTTGAAGCTGCCAAGCCGACTTACTAATCTATGGCACTCCGGTCTATTCCATAGAGTTAAAGGTGTTGATATACACCTCACTGCATTTCAAGAGGCGGTAGAGAAGACATTCTGATTCATGAATCGCTGTGGAATATTTCCATGTCAAGTTCTATTTACATCAATTTAGGTCGATGCGAATAGAGGTCTATACAGATCATGCCTCGTACCACACAGCAACTTCGACGCCCCACATATTTAACTGTCGAGTACACTCTTGTTAGCCTAATGTGGCAACTGATGGTTTTTCGCGTCACACAGTCTATACATTTTCTTTTTGACGTCGCGCATTGACAATGAGGGTTACAGGCACGGTGAGGATATTTACTAGCAAGCCGTTGAAAGCAAATATCACTTTATGTTAGTGTTTACAAGAGATTTATAGCCTGTTCTAACCCCAACGCTTTCTGTTTACGGCTAAAATTACTACTCGACAAGCAACATATGGTGATACTATTATTGCGGATCTCAGAGACAGAATTCTATATCTGGCACTTGATCTCCTTCAAGAATTATTTTTTTAGATAAAAGATATACGAAAACGTGTGATCTATGAACCCACTGATCAAGATGTACAAATAGGATAGCACATACGTGCACCTGTGACGCATATCAACAGGTACATCGTGGCATACATTGTCGCCCGTATCTAGACAGCCATTTTGCAATGTGCTAATAATCCATGAGCATAAACAATAGTTTTAAACCTAAAAAACTAGACTCTATTGTATCTTGTAAAAATAAATTTACCGCAGAATATAAGTTTAGTAATAGCAACATTTTAAAGACAATCTGGGCAATATGAGTTATCTTGCTGCTGTCAGCAACAACACTATCGGTTTGAATAGATCAAGGCTACCTTTAGAAAAAATGCCTATATGGTCTGTCTGAAGCATTTTTTTCAGGCCAAGATCACGACTTTGCGATTCGACAAAATTTGTACAAGATGCAATAGACATTAAAAAGGCAGATTGTTCGAGGTAGCTGGATCTACCTCGAGGTGGATGAATCAACCTCGAATTGTCTGCCTTTTTAATGTATGACGGAACACGTTAATCGCGTACCCCATAGAACACCAAAAGTAGTTTCGCTCACGGCTGGATCGGCAGCGGTTGAAAGACCAGGATTCGATCAGTAGCTATAATTATGGCGCTCTGGTCTGGAGCTTGGCGGCTATTGAAGAGTACAGGACATGGGTGTACAGACATCTTGCCTTATCCATCAGCAACTTTAAAGCACTTTGAAGCCATACTACGAGACTTTGACGTCGGACAACAACATCGCTCCGTGCTTGACTTTGAGAACTACGATGTACAGCGACAATGTCGAGACAGAAGCTTACCCTCACCAAGGTTCGTAGTGGTTGCAGTCTATTTAATACTCATAATCCTGTTGGTGCACAACTAGCCAATCTCGAATCTGGAAAGGATCGGCCTAATATTGGGAAGCGCGCTAATTGACCCCATCGCTTATCTTGTGAGAAAATAGTGGGTATGCCTAGTTGTAAGCATTAACGACGTAGGGCACGTTTACCAGACTGAAGTATCATCTTTACATTAATGCAAGCCTAGGTATCTACTGTGCTATTGTGTAGATTCAACTTGCACGGTAAGTACAATGTATCAATCACAAAATTATTTCTGATACACAGAGCATTAATTTTTGCGCTACTTTGTATAAAAATATCGAAGTGTTGGTAATTTTGAAGGTGATTAGGTCCGTATAGGAGAATTTTAAGGTACATAGCTGTTGGCCACACGTTAAGAAATCAATATAGTTTGTATTTATAATATAGTAAGCCATCTATTTTAATTTCAAAGAAAAGTTATTCTTAATAAACATCACACTGATTATAGTTGAGCCAACTGAAGACATTGTTGCGCTCAAGGCCCGTAGCTCAAAGCGTCCGCGCTTTCGAATCCGGACCCTTTGAGCTGCAACTTTCTCTGTGCGAAAAGCTTAGTAATCCCGTGGCTCTTAGTTGCACTTAGAGCCAACCTCAACATCGAGCTGAAACAATATTGTATTTTTGGTGAAGATTTAAACGCGAGAGTCTCACGCTTCTATCCGCGGAATGTCCAGACATACTACATTTGTTTGTTTTTGCGAGGGCATCAAAGAACAGGCAAATAAAGGACCAGATGCGGTAATCGCTTGTCTGGATGCATTCACCAGCTATTTATATGCACGGGTTAGACACCTTCATGGGCGCTTACACCAGGGTCTACTGAAAGATAGTTTATTTTCACCATGATACCGCTTATGTTGAGCATTCAGGCCTTTGACGCTCGTGCAGAAAAATTTGATTTGGATGTTGAAAGGCCATTATTTCGGCCTTGTTTCAACTGGAGTTACAACGTGCCGTATTTGCGATCTTTGACCGAAGGGTTCGCGAGCGAACATCGCCGAATACGTGCCATGCATAATTCAAAAGGCGTTCCTAGTGTGGGGTGATTTGAAGCGATAATGTTGTGGGAACTCGCTCCTCCTATTCAGGCGTTTATTGTCTTCTTGTCAGTTCAAGGGAGCTGGCGGACGGTGTTCAAGATTTTAGAAGTTTTGTCGCCGCAATAGCATCAGACCCTCCCCCGGAAGTGGTAGCGCATACTATCATCATGGACGCTCTCCGAACCGGTGCATTACACAAAGACTGTCCATCGTACCCTTTTGAGGCAGCAGTAAGCATTACCGTATAAGCGAAATCCAACTTCCATGCCGGAAGGGTACCGGGAGTTGGAGCTGCAGCGGGGGCTGCCGTAACTCTTTCGCTAAGAGGAAGCTTAGTTAAGGTAGGTAACCTTTGATCCTTACTTAGAACCTGTACGAGTGTAGTGGATCGCGATCCACTTTCTCCAAGAGTAACTACAACCTTGATTCAAGGCTAACTAAGACTTCCTTTAAAAACGAAAACTGAATTTCTCAGTTTTATTTGCGGTTAAGCCGCCTATATTTAATTACATTGGTTGTCCTACTTTTATAGAGAAACCTAATTAAAATGTATAACTCCTGACTTGTTATTTTCGTGTAGCCACACCATTGTGTAGTCACACCATCTTGTGTAAGCGACACCATTTTGTGATCACACCATCTTGTCATGCTGAGAAGAAAGCTAGAAATCGCTTAGCTGCAAACCAGATGCGCAATTTTTTAAAAGGTTTATCTGCGATTTTTCAGACAAATGCGGCATGTATATCCCTTAACGCAACCGGCTGACAAGCATGAAGAGTCGAAATCTTACGCAAAAACGGACAAAGAAGCCCATGCGGAGAGCGGTCGATTTACAAAGGCGATCATTTATACCTTGTTGGGGTCGTGGTCATGAGATCAAGAACTAAAATGAGCGGCTTGCTCTAACTAGCAGTGAGGATAATCGTCCGAATTTGTTGATTGCCAGTGTCAACGCCCCGAGCTTGCGAAATCGTAAAAAATGGTGATTGATCCATGAGTGTTAAGCAATTAGTTCAGCGCACAGCAGCATAGATCATTTGATCAAATGCGAGGGTTTGTAATGTCGAATATGGATAATATACCGTGCGGTTCTGCAACGATCACACTAGCGAAAGTGTCGAAGTTAATGCTGAATCTCCAAATAAAGTCTGAGGGTGGAGTGTAACCTCGTCTAGAATCTAAATTCGAGTTTTTCACTCATGCTATAAAACAATATGGCTGCAACATCCAATACCTGGATTGACTGAAAGTCAAAGTATGCCTTTTGGTGCGAGCACGAATCTACGATAGCGTGCAAGACATGGGATTGTTAAAATTGGAGGCAGTTGTATGGCTAAGTACCGCGAGTAAAGCTTGGAAGACTGATTTGGCAATGAATCTCAGGGTGAGCCATTTAATATCGTGGTTTACGGAGGGTATCTCTATTAAATGATTTAAGATGACCGTAAGAGTGAAGTACTAGTCGGTATATTAGTAATATCTGTAAGCCAGTGTCTTCTACTAAAGGGTTCGTGGAAATGGAAGCAACCGGTTGTTGCAATGTTCCGAACCAAATCCGGTAGAATTGATAGGTGACTGCATGTTGCAACATATGGGCCAGGCCATTGAGTAGAGAATGAATTTACATTGACATGGTGGGGCGGTATGGCTGAGTCAGTACTGCCGAGGGACGACCAGCGAGAGGAGCAGTGATGATACGCGGGGTAGTAGGTAAGAATGCTTTGATCGCTGATGAATGGATTTTGATATCCCTTATTACCCCGCCAAAAATTGTAAGATGCTGATAGAAGTATCCCTCATCACTTGATTAATTTACTATAGGGGGGTTGAGCCGTAAGTGCGTAGAGTGGATGGTTATACCACAGGAACTGTCAAACGCACCAAGCGTCGGTCGACGCAACTATTTGAGCCCATTATGGCTGTAAATTCATAATTTTAAAAATAGTACTATCGATTGTGGTGCAGAACACTTTGGAGAACCGCATTAAACCTCTGCAAGCGGGGTTCGGGTGTTTGCTCAAAACACGATTCGTCATACCGACTGACTTACATTGGCGCCGGCGAGATCCCTGCGAGATCAACCCGCCCTCAACAATAAACGGCATCGTAGGTTGGTCTGTGCTTCTGTCCAAAACAGTTTGATCGAAAGGTTGAGCCCGACCAACCACTTGTTCAAGAACAGTGCAACTATGCAGACATTGCACGATGCGCCACCAATTTCGCCAAACGAATTTCAAATAGTGTTGGTGAGCGGTAAAGGAGGTGGCTTTTTAGCTGTGACAATATGCTTCATGCTTGCCACAACTATAGCTCCTCCGAGCCCAGATCGACCGTTCTATGTCGTCTGGGATTCTCTAATTTGCAATAGGTTTTGATATACGCCATGCAGATGCGACGTGGACATGAACGCTTGATTGCGTTTGAGTCTGGCCAGCTAAAAAACTACTTGATTCCATTTCGAGTTACTTGCGATGAAGTATGCACTTGTCAAGTTCAGGATGTACCTGCTTGGCTCTAAGATTTTAGCGATTCGTCAAGATCTGCTTCTTTGCGCATATGAGACATGGGTATCAGTGATGTGACAGCAGCGAGTGACGGGAATGTTCGCAAGGTGTTTGAAGTCAGTAAGGGTGCCAAATTGACTTGCGACTATTGAAGAAAAAGGAGAGTGTACCTGTCGTCATGGATGAGTCCGTCATTAACACTCGCAAAGCAATAAGTGTGAGATGTAGGAAAGATGTTCTTAAGGGTCCTATAAATCGTTGTTGGTTTTGTGAAGGAATGTCAGGAAGTGGAGATGGGAGTTCATGCACATTTCAGGATTTGGGAGCGCCTCATACAAATTGACTTGATTTCCGGTGTCTCTGAAAGCCAAATATATAATGTGTCACACGATACGGGTTCTATTGAGGTTCCCCGATCACATTATGTGTAAGAAATCGACCTTCATACCATCATGCCAAGGAGGATTGCAACCAGTATTCAGTACCGCAAGATAATTTGGAACTGCGGGTATTATGTTGTTGTTAGGAAGCCAAGAGATATCAATGTTCTTTCTAGAACAGAGACTAGTTCACATCGCGCTGAATAATATCGTCGAACTGGCGTGTATGATACAACTTTGGAAAAACTTATCGGGATCAGTGCTAGGCGCAAGGACGCCAGTTACCGCCATTTGCTTCACCAGCGATTTGCTGATGAGCGGTGTTCTTTGGTCGTGGCAGGATTGAAAGAACAGTTTTCGTATATACTACAATCTGGAGCTGCTCTTAGGACGAACATAGCGCAGGATGGCCAAATCCTTCGCCATTTTGAGGAATGCACACCAAACCCTTAGATGCATATCATCGGACATACCGGGCATGTGCGGTTATGTTTAGCACAAATATTATGTTACCCTCGAATTCTGTGTGTCACTTTAATGAGTTTTGATAAAAATGCGTGACTGTTGATGTGTTGATGTGATTGAAATTTGTCAAGACTTTTAATACTCACAATTTGTCCTTAATGTTTCTGCTACTCCTGCTGCTGCCAGCGGCGAAAGCCTGTACATTGATCGCAGTTGGGCGCAACGCCACACTTGATGGCTCAACACTGGTGGCACACACCGACGACGCGGGATTCGGTACAGCTGACTTGCGGATGGTTCGCGTACCAGCCCAGGATCATGAGGAGAGTGCGATGAGGCACGTGTACAATTTGCAGCCAGGGTACCCACGCCTGTTGACGTTACAGCGAGGTAACAATTACAAACCAAAAAACGACCGCGAGCACCTAATGACACCACTGGGAGAGATCCCACAAGTACCACATACGTACGGCTACTTCGACCAAGACTACGGCTTCATGAATGAGGTACAACTTAGCATCGGAGAGAGCACAAGTGGAGCCAAGACAGTAGGCTGGCCTACAAATGCTGGTCCTCACGGATACAATATGTTTGGTATAGGAGAACTATCCAAAGTGGCCTTAGAGCGTTGTGATTCGGCTCGGTGTGCTATCCAGTTGATGGGGGACCTAGCCGTTAAGTACGGATTCTACAGTGAAGATAGCGGTGATCCAGCTAATCCAGCATATGCATGCTCGTCTGAGACACTGGGAATAGCAGATCGATACGGAGAAGTCTGGATCTTCCATGTGTTGACGGGTCCACAGAACGCTAGTGCTGTATGGGCTGCCCAACGGATTCTTGATACGCATGTAGTAGTGGTCGCTAATGGCTTTGTGATACGTGAAATGAATCTAGATGATTCAGACTACTTTATGGCGTCAAAGAATGTGCATTCCTTTGCTCGAGAAATGAAATGGTGGGACCCGAAACAAGGAAAGTTTGATTTTACTGCTGCGTACGCTATTGCGACGCCAGATCCTGTGCGTGCATTGTACATGGGTCGTCGCATGTGGCGTGTTTTCGACCTCGTGGCGCCGTCGTTGCAGCTAGACTCCCGTCTGGGACACTACTCCGAATTCCCGACGTATCCATTCTCGGTCAAACCGGACCAAAAACTTGATGTGGAGGCTGTGACGAACTTGCTTCGTGATTACTATCAAAATACACCTTACGATTTGACTAAGGGTCTTGCGGCAGGACCATTTGGAAATCCTATGCGGTGGGGAGGCGATGAAAAGGGTGTCGTAGGAGGTTGGGAAAGACCAATATCCATGTATCGCACAGTCTTTAGTTTCGTGCTGCAGGCGCGGGCTCACTTACCCGATGCTGTTGGAGGTGTAGCCTGGTATGGACAAAGCTCGCCGCATGCCTCGGTATATGTGCCGTTCTCCTGCGCGCAGCAAGAGGTTCCACCATCCTATGTTTTAGGGAAGGAGAGCGAGTTTAATCATGAATCCGCTTGGTGGGCTTTTAACTTTGTTAATAATTGGAGTATGTTACGCTTTGATGCTATCAGCAAGGATATCCGAGCTCGTATAGCTGATTTGCAAGCAACTTGCTTTTCTAGGCGCAAATCGATGGAGGCCTACATTCACCAAACGGAATTGATGTCAGCGTCGGATGTACGCGCTTATCTGCAGGAAGAATCGAACCAATTGGCTTCGCGGGTCATTAGCGAATGGTGGGCCTTTGCGTGGAAGCTTGTTGGCAAATTTACAGATGGCTATATTACGACGGGTGAAGCTCCTGACGAAATGGAAATGCCTGGGTACCCAGAATGGTGGCTCAAGCGCAGCGAATTTTCCTCGTGGCCGGGTGAGACGTTGGTACCGCCACACAATTCGGAGCTGGAAAAGCAGCTTCAGCAATTTCAGAGTCGGCAGATTGCCAGTACGGATGGTAAAGTACAGTTATCACCAGGTGACGCTAAAGCGTTTCCTTCAAACTTTTTTTGGATCGCACAGCTTTGCGTAAGTACACTTGTTGGAGCCACGATGGGTGCGTTCGCCATGTGGTTTGTTGCTCGACGCCGGAGGCAAACTGAGTATCAGGCAATTTCTTAAGGCGCAGCCATACGGCTTGCGAGTTCAGTTGCAGAAAAGAGCTTATGAATTCGAAATCAATGCAAACTCTAGTTCCGAACCGCGATTTCGACGCTCACTCACGACTACTATATCAAAAACACGCTGCTCGATTTAATGATTGGTGCTGTGAACCTGAAAGAGTACTTGTGATCGTCGCATATACTTTACGTCTACAGGTGCAGCTCTTAAAGCACTTCGACTGCGTATGTTCCTCTTATGCCTTCAAATTTATAGGAGGTGATGACGCCTTTCACGGTCTATTCCATTGCTTTAAAAATCCTATATCTGATCTACCGCCGACTATAGACTAATGGCACTTCAAATACTCTTGATGCGATCCCTCTACCCCTTATCTTTTGAAGCAGGTACAAGGCCTGGAGTGTTTATTAACCCCATCGCCCGCAGTGTCTTCTTCTGCAGCAGCGGTACTTTTTCCAGCCCAATCAGCTTGCTATAAAGTGCACCAGTCTCGACAAGCTTCGATTTCGACATTCTCAGCTTCTTCAAATTCGAGTTGTAGAATCCTAAAAAAGCAACATAAGCTTTCTCTGCTGATTGTTTCAGATCGCAGCATGTGCGAGAATTTGCAAGAACACGCGTGGTACGAGAGCTATGCTGATCAGGATGAGATTGCAGCTTCAATTCAGCAAGTGGGAGATCCGCGAGATCACGAAGCATTGCTGTCTCAAAGTCGGCGAGCACCAAAACTCCACGTCCTTCCATACCCGCACGAGCGGTTCGTCCTAGCCGATGTATGTATTGATCACGATCTGTAAGACCAACTTGAACGACTAGCGATACGTCAGGGTAATCAACACCCCGCGCCGATACGTCTGACGAGAACATGATCATCTTTTTTCCCTTTCGGAAAGCTTCGGCAGCCTTCGAGCGCGCAGATTGACTCTTGCGTGAATGCATCTCCAACACATTAGGAAAGCCAGCAACTTGGAACAATTGAGCCATGAATTGCGCAGATCGAGCAGTTGGCAGGAAGACAATGATTTTATACGCTCGCAACTTCATGTGCGCTTCTAATACACTTTCTACTACCGAAATGACATCTTTCAAGTCGCACACAATAAATTCCTGAATAGCCTGCGTGTTAGTATGCTGGTCATTACCTTCAATTGTATCCACATAGACATAGTCATTTCGCAAAGCTATATCTTTTAGCTTGTCGGTGGTAGCTGGTAGCGTTGCACTGAAAAGCAGTGTTTGCCGCGTCTTTGGCAGAAAACTAATAATTTGGATTATGTTGGACCGAAATCCCATGTCGAGCAAGCGGTCCGCCTCATCCAGCACCAGTACCTGCAATTTGTCTAGTTTCTGTCTGATGCGTGCACTATTGTCCTCTAGATGCGCTTGCAGTCTTCCTGGGGTCGATACCAGCACGTCGATGCCACCAGGACGTTCCAGCTCCTTCATGTCTTCTCTAACAGAATTACCACCCACAAAGCAGGACGTGTGTAGTCCATGAGTGTCTGTGAGTTTTACTGCTTCAACTGCAATCTGTTGTGCCAGCTCTCGTGTCGGAGAAATCACAAGGGCCGAGATCTTATCCTTAGAATGCTGATGATTAAGCATGCGCTCTATTGTAGGCAGAAGGAAAGCGATAGTTTTGCCGTTACCTGTCTTGCCTTTAGCTAGTACATCACAGCCATTCAGCGCCAGAGACAGCGTGTCCTTTTGAACATGCGTTAGAAACTTATAGCCCATGTCACGCATAAGCACATCCTTAGATCGTTGACTAATGGACAAGGACTCAATAGACACATCCGACAGATGACTACCGCTTGAGGTGAATGAAATGCAACTTGAGCGAAAGCTGCGCACAGTAGTTGACAGGCGCAACGAAAGACGACGGCAAGTCCACATCACAAAACTCACAAAAAGTAACAGAATCTGCAAAATTTGTCAAGGAGCTAAAATTGTCGAAATGGCGATTGTACAGCTTATGCGTTGGGTAGCGGGATTCTTTGCGGTGCATGCGGCAGTACTCACGCCCTCAGATTCGTTTATTTTACAGCTGGATGGACACACGGAGGAGTGCTTTCATGAGTACGTACGTACCAAACGTACGGCGTTTTTGAAGATCGGCGTACTGGAATCGTCGGGTGCCTACGACGTCCGGCTGAAAGCGTTTGGCCCATTTTCTTCGTATCCAGAGGAGGAATTTGTGACCAAAAACTTTTTTAATCAAGTTGTGACTACACCTTACGACGAAGTGAGTCAGAACGTTGAGCACAGCGGCTTTAACTTCGACTCGGAGCACCGCGGCGGATGGTACCGCTTTTGCTTAGACAATTCGCACGATAGTAAGAAGAAGGTAGTTGAGTGGTACACGTCTTTTGACCTATCAAATGAGGACGATTTGGGTGAAGAAGACAAGATGGACGAGCAGACTCGCCAAGGTGAGGATAGGAAGTGGACTGATAGAGAGTACTTGATTGACCTTTACTTCCAATGATCATGCCAATATTAGAGCACAAAGAAGGGGTAAAGACTTCTCTTAATCGACTGAATACGCTTTTGGATCTCATTCGTAATGAACAAGACTATTACCGTGTCCGCGTACACCGTCACATTCAAAGTATGGAAAACTCTATCGAATAATGTTGCTGGATGAGCTAATGATTAATTATTGCGTCATAGCATTGGAAAGTAGCGGCTCTCGCGTAATCCTTTACACAATGATCACTATCGGTGTGCTGGGCGCCATGTATTGTGGACAATCTTATCTGCTGCACAAGTGGTTCAGCGATCGCGGCTTCCTTTCAAAGCGACAGTGGGCGTAAGCGTACAAGGCGAAAGCGCTCCGTGCGATCGGTAAGGTGACGATAAGTAACTGTAATTTTCTGCTTAATGCAGAAAAGAAGTGCTAAAAGATTGGGCTCGATCCCTGATCATAAAAAGTAAACAAACTTTCTGGACAATTGAAACGTATTTGAAATTTGCGAGCTTTTGGCATCATGAGACAGTCACTTATCTTGATTGACCGAATCGACGATCTCGAGTTCGTCGATCAGCTGCTGACAATGGAGTTGGCGATCTGCAAAAGAACAAACATTTCCTGCCGCTGACACCGTGACTTGGTATACTGCATCACCATCTTCTCTTGTCGTAACCGCAAGATAGAGTGCAGTATCGTTGTCCGGCGCTCGTTCTGGGTGGAAACGATACCTACCCTGATCATTTATCAGAATGCCGTCAATGGGACTGAGTTTTAACAATTTTCTCAGTTTGGCCAGCACAATTTTGTCCGAAACAACCGTCACTTCTGTTAAACCAGGAGCAGCACCTTCCTTTCCACACTGTAAGGCTTCAAAGGTTCCCTGCTGACACGATAATATTCGAAAAGGCGAGCGTTTCCTCAGTGGCTGTTGCGTGCCTGGGCTGATGCATTCTAATTCTGTGAATCCTTGGACAGGGCCCGTTACAGTATCTATAGGCGCTTGCATTCGGACACTCACTCCGGCACCGAGGGACTCAATCGTTTCAGAAAAATTTACTGTAATCGACTCGTGTAGCTGCACCCTAATTATAATTTGGCCCAACATAACGTGCGAGTCGTTTCGCACCTTTATAATTAGTCTTCCGCCGACTTCGTAGTCTGTCGAAATGAATAAGTTTTGCAGCATTGCCGATTCCATCACCTCGTTCATCATGCGCATGACTTGGGTGCTTTGTGATAAGCTTTGCCCAACACGTTCAAAAACCGATCCGAACGATTGTTGCAAACCTCCAGCGTAAGCCTCTAGCATCTCGGCTGTCTCGTCCATTTTTTTTTATTTTGGCATCATACGTTTTCTTTTAACATTTGTGTTTAGGCAAAACTTGTAAAAAAGAATATTTGTTTCAGTTACAGCATGTTAACCTACACAGTTCCATATTACAACCAAAGCGACAGGAATGTGGAGGATAGTCAAAGAGAGATGACAAGCCTTTGAGTAAGCGCACTCCTTGTGGACTTCATCGACCAGTTTGGTTTCATGCTGACAATGAAACGCACTATCGTAATCCAGCAGGACACAGATACACATGTCCTTCGTTTATGATCTCACGTACCATTGATTTGCGAGCCTTCTAATTCCCGATGCTTTCGTGACGCGAGGTTAGCTTAAGACAACCCCGTGCAGCGTCCTATTGGTCACACGTCGTCTCTGTGATCGTATACACATCCATATTGTAAAACGACGCAGGTTGTGTGCCGACTTGATCTGCGGTATCGTATTCAAGGCTAGTCCACGACGCTTGGGCTAAGTGAACGCGCTAAATATATTCAATCTCTGGGATCTAGCGGTCAGCGCTCTTGCGAGTCGATTGGTGAACACCTGATCGACCAGTCAAGTCATACAATTATACACTCGCAATGTGTCCGGAAAAGATTCAAACACTCCGGTTCTAATTTGTGCTTTGGCCGCTCTCCCCTTCTGATTCCAAGGGCCTTAATCATGAGCCTTTATATCCAGATATCTGCGCTTGTAAGTGGGCCAGATATAACTCGATATCGACCGAAAAGCACTTGTATTTAAAGCACGCTATATCGCAGTTGTGGCAACAGGCGTGCAGTTTTTTTCGCATCTCGACTAATAAGCTTGCAAATATTGAGATGGGATAAGTACACAAGCATCGGTCGAGAATTATAGCCTGTACTTCGATGTGTGACTCTATTTACAATCTACTCGCACCGCAATTGCCACTTGCTCGACGAGCTTTATCACAGTTTCGGCTGCATTTGATCTTTGTCAAATAATCTCTGAATAGACTGAGTAATAACGGCATGATATCAAAGACTACAACGCTTCATGCGGTATTCTGCGACTTTACTAACTTGTACCAAGGTATCGCATGCACTTGCTTAGGCTTGTAATATATTTCGTGAGCGCTAAACACTTTCAAGATTATCTACCTTCTCGGCTGCAAGCTAAGCGACGATCGTTAAGCGAAGTGCAAGCAATGCATTCAAAATGATTTATCAACAATCTGGCTCACTTCTTTTGAAATGATGGCTCCAGTGTAGTGCTCAATTTACATTGGGAGCGTGATTGTCTTGCAAAGAATACTGAAATTTGATGTTGGTTTAATGGAACACTATGGATCTCATAGTAAATTTATCGTCGAGACTTTTTTCGCGTTCTAGCTCTCGGACTATAACTTAAAATTAAGCTGGCATTTGTTCAAACGACCTGAAGTGCATTTGCTTTCTTGATGCTTGTAAGAATACGTGATATGTTGAATAGCGATCATGTCGTTTTTAGTAATGAAAAGACAAACTTCCTACGGAACCTTGAACTTACTGCAGTCAGATAATTCAAGCAGTAATTGTTGAGTTTACAAACTGATCGGCAGTGTGAAGGCCATCTCGTGAAATTTTCAAAGCATTTTCATGTTTCAATTATTTGCTCGTTCTTTAGGATATAATTTGATGGCTACTCAGCGAAGATCACACGCTCCAAAGTCTTGACCCTTTCACCAAAACTACACTTTTTTGCATGGTGTAAACCACAATGACAGAGTAACCTATTGAGCTTAGATATCGCAGAAAGCATTGCAGCACTTATTTTTAAATGGTACAGAAAATTTTGCTTTACTATTTGTCATTTTGTGTAAAAGCGCAAATCGACTCGGCATGCCAATGCATTACCAGATTTGCTTGAATTGACGATCAATGGGTAAATGTTATTTTATCGAGGTTTATGAGGTCACGATATAACTGGGCAATCGTACTGCGAATATAAATTTTCAAATACTGCAAAATGAAACTTGCTTTCAGGAATGCAACTATATTCGACTTGGTTTCATCGTGCTACATACGAAAGTCAAGCTAGTTTTAACGCTTCAAATTTTCAATGCGTCAGCATCAAGACTATAGGGCGTGATGCTGAGCTATATGGACTGTATTTGCAGCTGGAGATTATATTCCAGTGCGAGCGATCGCCTCGTGGGAGATGCTACGAGAGAAATAAGCAGGTGATTGCGTTAAAAATCGGGCCATGAAGCATATGATTTTTCTGGACAAGGATTTCTCTTCCTTCGTCCTGTGGAAATGTACAATACGCGAAACGCTTTTTCTCGTATGATCGCATGGTTGCGTAGCATATTCATGTCAATATTAAACAGTGACTACGCTTAAAAGAAACTTTTCAATATGCTCCAGCCGAGATGGTAAATGCGTGGTGGTCTGCAGTGGCGGCAATCAACCTGTAAGCGTCCATCCGTGAGTTGACTGCACGTACAAGTATTGCACATCTTTTATGCCAACATTCGTGTCTACTTTGAGACCATTGCAGTCTTATTTCACCGCGCCTGCTGTATCACTACGACGTAATATTTGGTCAGTTTTTCTTCGCTGGGCTCGTTCTTTTAGAATCTCTGCCATAATAATCAGAAGATCTCGACTTTTATTCTATTTTGTGATGCATAATATTTCTATATAATATCGAGTATAGTCAGGTTACAAGGAACGGCGCAATGGATTGTTTATTTAAGTGCGAAAAGATAGATTCATAACTTATGTTGACACTTATTAAAGACCTAGACGATCAAGCGAGGTCGAAGTGGCCCTATCACCATGTGTGGCAAGGCGCCGGATTGAGAGAGCTCACGTATCGACGGCAACTTGTTGTCGGTATTCATTGGAAGAGCTAAAGACAATCTTGGGAGGCTGAAGTTTGGTGCTGGGTGCACTGGCGGCGTGACGAGTTGAGCCTTGTGCGATTGAGGGATGGGGGGCATGACAAAATTCCCGACGGCTGCATCAGGCCGGGGAAGGATGCGCGTACACCTCTCGATGCCACAACTGGATAAAAGAACGGCCGTGCGTTTTGCTGGTGGTAGCTTCTCATCATATTTGCGTTTACGTGACTTCTTGCACTGGCGTCTTACTAACGACATTTCGCTAAAATTGTCGCGCGTAAAGTGCTCTCGGCCATAAGTAGGGAAGAGTGCACGTGCCTTGCTCCATTTCCGAAAGCCAAAATAGTTAAGTTGGCGCTGAAAACTCGCAAAATTCTTGTTCTTGAAATACTTGGGCAGGATTTGGGTGGTCATAACATGCTTATCCAGGATCTGAAATGCCATACCATCCTCCGCCCAACGAATGACTCTGGAGTCTTCGTGCCGCAGCATCTGGTGAAGATGCAGCAGAAATGGAGCAACCCAACCACGCTTTACAGGAGTGGAACTAGCACTGCTGCAGCTGGTGGTCGATGTTGTGGGTGACAGTGGGGCTGTATCCTCGGAAAGTAAGTCTTGCACTTTCATTGCAGCTAAGTGTTGTTTGCTTCAGAATCTAGAATTGGAAATGAGATGCAAGGTAAAAGCGGGTTTCTCTTGTTGGGCATACAGAAGTCATATAGTTTTCTTTTTTTGAATCTAGATTCGATAGAAAACAAGTACAGCATGTTGTTATGAGTAGCATCTTCAAATGAATCTTTAGTGGCTAGGGCGTGGCAACCCTCCTTTACCGATACGGTATTAAAAATGGTCATACTATCTAATCTTTTGAATACTGCATCCCGTAAACAGGCGTTGTACCTAAAATAATTTTTGCAAAGAAAGAACCTCCAATGTTCCATGTGTGTATAGTTTAATTCATCAATTTTATGTGTACTGTTGTAACCCGAAGGCTGTGGAGGAGGTATGTATGTGACAGGTGCAAGCAACAAAATTTATTGCAGTCATATGTTATCAAATACTACTAATACGCTCAAATTGTGATTGATTATTTATCTCTGATTGAGCTTTGCAACGGAGTCCATCGCACGTCAAGTCCTTTAAGTCACCCAGGTGCGGCGAGCTGTGTAGCCAGTGTACTCATGCTATCGCTGAACGCTAGAGCTACTCTCAGAGACAGGAGGATCACCAGAAGACTTGCTTTTTTTGTCTCAGATTAAGCTTATGTGTAACGGTAATTCTAAGCTTAAAATGACTTATTTTCCTTGAAATCGATAAAAATAATCTAGTGTCATGTAGAACATTTAATCTGTAGATTCTTTGAAATGACGAGTCGTAAAATAAAGATAAAATAATTGTCAGGTTATAAGTTGCCGCTGCAGGTTTCCTAAAACTTTAATGGGGTGCCGAACAGACATGAGTCGGCATATTCACGTCGCAGATCAGCCATCAGCTTCTCCACTTGCAATTCGGAGCGTTGGCACTCAGACCGCAAAAGTCGAAACCGCAAGGAGACGTCATTCTGAAATCTCCGCAAGCGCTTTCGATCCTTCTTAATGCCATTATAAAAATTATGATGGCGGTCGCAATTGCTATGACGATGGTGATCTTTGCAGCCATTGTCACTACCGCCGTTACTTGCAGTATCACTTTCATATTTACGGTTTTTGGCTTCCTCTTCAGGCCTTCGTAGCATGCTTTGAACTCGAAACCGCTCTTTTCTTCGCCGTTGGGATCGCTTCAATATGCATAATAGCTCTGCGTGCTCGTGTTGTAAACTGTTTAAACGATCTTGTTCCCGATGAAACGTCTCTTCCTCACTATCCAGCAGCTTTTTCTTGCTTTCTACCTCAGCAAACAGCTCTGTCAATATTTTATTAACATCGTGATCATTAATCTCGACTTCATTGTCGCTCTGAATCGTCATTTGGCCGCTGTTACTTCCCAGAACGCTGCTCATCTTTTCATTCTTGTGCACTTGAAATTCGGTAGACTTTTCAGAGCTGTGCTCGGCGCTGCATTGAGGGTCAGGGTCGATAGAATGCATCGAGGACCACTGAATAATGTACTCCGTTGAGAAAATTTAGCTTTGATAACACATTTAGACTTGAAATTCAATAATATGGGTACTTTCAGTCGAAATTATTACAATTAATTGGAATAATTTTGACAGTCAATCCATGTTTTGTTTGTCGATTACTCTATTTAAGGCAGGCGACGCTATTGACGAAACAGTGAGGCAGGAGCGATGCATTAATACCGCCGAATGCGCACCTCCTGCAGATACTTGAAGAATGGTAATCGGACCGAGATCCAGACGTGTAGGTATTGCCAATGACTTCATGTCCACCAAGCCTAATCTTCCGTGGCTGCAGAATAGACATTCACACGGTGAGTGATATTCCTCCGATCAATGATGAACGTGAACTAGTACGCACTCGGATCGTCCAGCAACGAAGGCAGTTCCGTCGTTGGTGACAAAAAGAGTATGAGAACCACCACATGCAGCGTGAACCACAGATTTACCCTTTAAAGCTTTTACCTGTCAATCAAGGAGATAAGCAAAGAAGTTGGCCTGAAACAGCGAGACCTTGTCCATACCAAATGCGGTCGCGTACGACTTTTTGTATCACCAAGACCCAATCGGCCATACTCACCCCGCCCGAACGCATAGCAATCTCCCGACTCGGCAACCACCACAGTGTGCCAGCCACCGCAAGAAACGTTCCTACTTATACATGCGATGAAAAGACAATTGTTGGTAAATTATAACTGGTAACAGATTTGGGAAGCAGCATACCTGACACGAATATCGTCAAAAAATTCGATGCGCTTTGGGGTATGCTGGTCGGAAGACTGGCCAATACCGAGCATACCGTAGTCCTCTTTTCCCCAGATGTAGAGATGGCCCTGCTCGGTTACAGCAGCCGTGTGGAATGCACCACAAGCAACCTGGACAACCTTTTGACCGTCAAATCCATCGACCAGGTGCGGACGACTAGTTCGCAAAAGACTTTCGTTCTCTCTATCTTTAAACCACGCAGAACCAATACCCAGCTGTCCGCTATCGCCTCGGCCCCAGATAAAGACGCGCCCTTGATTACTCAATGCTGCCGTGTGAGTCCCACCACAGCTTACTCGTACGATACTTTCGTTAGCAAATTTCTCAAAAATGGGGCATTCAGCCGGCAGAGACTCGTGCGCAGCTTCGTACTTTTCAG